GCTTGAAACAGAAAAATATCAGTCAGATGCTAAAACCTCTTCTGACTAAAGCAGTCAATATGAAAACTGGTCAATAATTAGACTTCAGTAACAAAACAATTCTGTTGTAGAAATCAAAAGAACTGGTAGGTTAATTGAGTGTAATGATTTAGCACTTCTGTTGTACGTCTCACACCATGCGTATGTAGAAATACAGGAATTTTAAAGAATCATCCATAAAAAATGGACTACTTTTATTCCATACCTGTATGGAGCTAATCATTGTGCTAAGGGCAAATACTGTGGCCGAGTCTCTCAAAGTTGACTGACTATCAAACGTTCCCTGAGTATCCATCAATAACACTGCAACCTGTGGGCAGGTAGAGCACGTTATTAATATTGCATAGAACATCCAGAGCACAGGGTTATCAAGACATTAACACCATAAAAACTAAAGAAAACCATTATCAATGAATACATGCCACAAAAGCAAATACATTAATTAGCGCTAATATATATAATCACTGTTATGATTAATTTTTAATGGCATTCCAACAAGAAGAAACTTAATACAGAATTGAAACAAAGTAAAAATGTTAGCTTGTTGAGCTGCTCCTCTATTATGCTTATCATGCTGCCCACTGTGACCACTAAAATGCTACACAGGCTCATGCTAGGATGCTACCTCAAACACACTTCTAATTTTTATGTCAAATGGCCAAGATTAATTTTCAAAAAGCATTTTCCAGGTTACTGTTGCAAGTAAAAATTCAATTTTACTTAAAAAGCTAGTGTCATACCTTTTTGCCATCATGTTTATTGATAAGGAAAACTTCACTCCATATCTGAATTCCTGTAGTTTCTCGTTCAGATCCACCTCTCCATGAAAATCCAGTCAATGGTTCATTGTAATCTCCAACCCAATCAACTGATTCCTACAAATTTAATAAAGTCTATGATATGAAGCTAGATAGGTGTATATAATTTTTCCATTCACACTTTCCAATTTTCTAGCTCTAGTCAAAAGGAAACACATGGGGCTGGTGAGATGGCTCCGTGGTCTAAAGCACCTACTTAGTACAAGCTAAGCTAAGCAAAAACACAGGGACCGCGGTTCAATCCCCCAGCACCACATGCCAGCCAGCCCCGCCCCCCTGGTGGGCTGAGCTGGCCACACACACACACACACACACGCACACGCAATAAATAAATAAATAAATATAAAAAAAAGGAAACACATATGTACATCTATTGCATTCAAACAATAATTTTGTTCATTCAAAAAATAATTACAGAGAAGCAACCATCTGCTGTATTTTACACTCAGCTCTGGTGATATAGAGATAAAAAGCTATTATCTGGACCAGAAGGAGCCCACAGCCTAACACAGACCTACTAACAAGTCAGCAGGATGCAATATATGCAAGTCAACATGGAAGTGTCTATAAGGCAAAATACAAGTATAGGAAATAAAACTTAACTATTACTCTGAAAGACTTCATAGGAGGTGACATTTGAGAAATATTTATGAATATTCCAAATGAACAAACTTGGAGAGGGCATTAAAGGAAAGAAGGTAAGCAGTCAGGAAGGAAGAGAAAGAGAAGGAGGCATAGAAGAAGGAAGGAGAGAAGAAGCAGAGAGATGGCATACTATGTCAGTACATACACAGATGCTTTGGTGTGGGGGTGCAGAGTCAGAGAGAGGCTGGACAGCCAGCCAAACTCTGAAAGGAGTGGTGGCTTGCTGCCTAGGCCAAGTAAACTGCAGCCTGCTGGTGAGGAGCCTTTTGAAGAAGCAGAGGGGGACTGTCATGCTGATGGCTGAAGGATTTTCTAGAAGCAGTGAAAGACTAGTTAAGAAGGAAGAAAATCATTACTAGGAAGGACAAAACCTGGGGTTCTTTTGAAGGTCTAAAACATGATTGAAGGCCTGAACCTGGGCCAGAATAGGGGAAGAACAGAAGGTACAGATGCAAATGGGTTTCAGAAGCCAAATGGAGAGCAGGTAGAAGGAGCTGGGTGGGAGTCTTAAGAACTGAAGATCACATAAGACAAGAAAAAGACTCTCTCAGATTTAGTAATCCAGTCACTGATAACTTTGATTAACAGTAGTTACATTGATTTTGATATGTTACAGAGACTAAATTACGATTTTTTAAAACTCCTTAGATAATCTTCAAGTCTAAAATGTCATATTAACTAAAGTATAAAACTTTACTAATGCAAGGGAATTTGGTAGGTTACTTGAATTAATAGGAAATCCATGTAACAGAAATCTTCTATAAAGCAATTTTAGAACCTCATAAAGAATTCAATTTTGGTTCATCTATAAATTGCTTCTGCTATTTGGCCTATTCAATCTTATTTCCGCTTCATTTCCAATACATAATTTCCACTCTGTTGGAGGAGGTGTATCCTTTGTTTAATGCAAACATCATACTCATTCCTCTTAGTCTAAAATTTCACTTTTCTCTCTTTCTTTTGATCTGTATGCCTTCAAAGTCAATGTCTCTGTGAAGCTTTCCCTGACAAATCCTGCTTATCCAGATATGCTCCCTCTTTGAATTACTTTCAGAAATTCAAAAATTAGTATTTTATGATGTTTTAAATATGTCATGTGTCTCAATTCTGTCTCCTTAGTCAAAGTATGAGATGCCTAGCTATGAAATCTATCTTCTTTGGTATTTTCCACAGAATCAGGCACAATGCGGGGTGAATAGCAGGTAGTTAATAAATACTAAGTGCTGTAAAAATTTAAATTAGTAAAATGTTGCCTGAAAGAGTCTTGAGATGTATACATCAATGATTATGAATTCACAGGACTGTAACATTATTGTGACATTGGCTTAGGTGAATGATTTATCTGAGATACTTATAAAAACTACAAACCTGAAAAATAATTTTGAAAGACAAAGCATTCACAAATAGTTACTTCGGTAGATTAAAAAATATAGCTTGTTTCATTCAGTCAGGTGTTTACTCATATATTTCTTTAAAAATTACTGATTAGTATATTCCAGTTATTACAAGATAAGCTCAGTAACAATTTTACTGCTTAAAAAAGAACATAGATTGTCACATTTAACATCAAATTTTGCTATTTGAAATATTAATGATAGGCTGGGCATGGTGGCACATGCTTGTAATCCCAGCACTCAGGAGGCTGAGGTAGGAGAATCGCTGTGAGTTCAAGGCCAGTCTAAATTACAGAGTGAAACCCTGTTTCAAAAAAAAAAAAATAGATAAATGACAATTATATACACAGAAATGGAAGAAGAATTTGGTCTACATAAGTCAATGACAAATGTCTTTACTCAAGGAACAGTAAAACAAGTGTTCATAGTCTGTCTTGCTTTCTCCTAGGTGCAGAAAAAGACAAAAATCTGTGCACTTTTATTTCAAGCAAACACTCTACCACAAATAACATGCTGAGTATTATGAGTGTTTCATTTTAATGCATAACAGTTTAAGTTATGACTATGCCTAAAACTCTATTATCCAAAAAGGTATAAAATGTATTAATTTTGTTCATTCAATTTTCCCACCTGTGTTAAATAACACAGTACTTTGGGTAGCTAGAAATCAGGACTAGTGAGCACTCTGCTTTCTCTGAACACCCGCATTATTTTGGTAGTTCTGTTCTTCATTTCTCTGAGGCTAGAGAAGAAATGTGTTAAAATTAGTATCACAAAATTATTCAGAAATACATCAGCTATAAAAGATCAATCTAAAGTGGATAATTGTGATGTAAATGCACACTACAAAGTTCTGTGGGTATTCTGCTACACCTCAGCATTTATGCTTACATCAGAATTACCTGTGAAGAGGACAGGTAAAAAATACTAAAATGTTTTCTATTTCCAGCCTGCTGTTCCTCAGCCTAATCTTCTATGCATTGTTGTTTTGGTTTTTTTTTTAAGAAGAGTACAAATTAAAATTATAACAATAAAATAAAATAAAATTATAACAGAAAAAAATCACAAGTGATACAGATTTCACTTAATAAAGTAGTATGAATTTCACAGTATTTGCTGTAATACAGTGTCATCTTCCAATCAGTTACTCATACCAGATATATGCATGTAAATTTGGAAGAAGAAAAAAAGAAATGTATAAGAAATTAAGAAGAGAAAAAGTACAAGCAATTGAAAAAAGGAGATGAAACAAAGTAAAGCATTAACTGCCTCTTTCCATAGACCAGCAGAAATGCACAGTACAGTTGTCCACAGCATCCTGCTATAGACGAATCTTTCCCCTACTCCCTCTCCTGTCCTCCTCTTGATTTATTTTAGGTTCTTTAAAAACTCACTTCTGTATCACAGTTTTCTAAAACACTGCGACACTGCTAGTGTTTTCTAGGGATGGGGGAAAGTGAAGACTCACTGAGGAATGCTAGGGTAACGGTGATGGGTTCTGAACTACACGAGTGGACACACTTGTCAAAAACCAGCAAATGCACATTAAAGATTTGTGTGTTTCTTTGTATGAAAGTTTTACCTCAAAATAAAAGCTATGTATTAAAATATTTTATGGATAAGTATACTAGTGTCCCGAGTTTAACTTGAAATTTATTGAAAGATAGAATGATGGATAGGTAGAAGAATGAACACATGGAGGTATATGATAGAGAAGGATATTAATGTTAATAGACGAATCTAGGTGGTGCACATCCAAGTGCTCACTGTCAAATTCTTGTAACTTTGCTGATCCTTGGAAATATCAGTAAATGTTAGAAAGAGGATATTACAATAAAAAGGTTATGGTAAAAATCATTTGACATTTTGAACAGGGAAAGTTTACAATCATATCATTGTGTTAGTGTCTATTTTTAAAGGAGAGAAACCTTTTAATCACATGGAAATGCTGTAAAGCAGCTTCAGAGAAGAGCCATCTGTGTGGTCTGTGCCCACGGCATGGAGGATGAGGTGGTTACACCCTAGCATTTATATTTAGGTGCATACTTAAGGAACATAGCAAGAGAAATAACAAATTCTCCTAAATAAAATAAAAACACTATGTGGAAAAGGCATGGGGACAAGACTTTTCAGGGCACCTCACACCCACCTGGTTGTACATGTACCGCAACATGAAGTCCATCAGGAACGACTTTCCTTTCCTGAAGGCTCCAGCAACAGACACTGCCACCACCTCCTTGTCCCTCACAGCCTCAGAGAGGAGGATCCTATTCAGTGCTGTCTCATCCAACTCAAAGGAATGGTCATCTTTGACAATAAGGACTTGCACAGGGCCTGCCTTTTTCACTGGCTCCTCCTCTTCTGAGCTCCATTCACCTGATTTCTCTGAAAATCCACCTGTGGAATGAAGTACCAAGTGGTGTAACCATCTCAACTGCCAGGAAGCCTGTACCTCTCAAAGGTCAAACGTCGGACGCAACGTGAAATTCAATATGGCCATTCTAATGACATCTTTTTATGTCACACGTACCATATCCCAGAAATACCTGAGTGGATCTTTCTGATCATGTGACTAAACCAAACAGAAGTTTCTTTTCAAGAAACTTCTAAGTCCATACAACTAGTGCTGAGACTTCTCTTTGCTGAGAAAGAAAATCAAAGCAAGGAACTCTGCTTTCGGAAGCTGAATAATGAGGTTTTAGTGTATACTTTTATTCCTAGAAATAAACTTACTTTGTTATATAAAGCCTTGCAACACTTCTTAAGGCTGACTGTACATGGGAGAAAATACATTCAGGACTCAGAATCACAGGAGCTGCTATTAGCATACATGAAGAAACTAAAGCCATGGTAGCACACATTGCCCAAGGGAAAAAATGGAATTTCTCTCAAGAGATGTTTTTTTCATGTTATTTATTTAATTCTTTCAATACATTGATGAGGCATTTATTATTATCTATATTTTAATGAAGAAACTAAAATTTTAATTGGCTCACTTGTCCAAGGTTGCATTAACTAGAAAGTAACCTATCCAAGTTTACAAAGATGGCAACTGTCAATTTTGGACTATTACAGCTCAGGTTTCTAAATTTTCATGCCATGTCATTCTACTACATTCTTTTTCTCTAGTGAATATCAACCTCTAAACAAGACATAAAAGTGCTCATTTGCTTTGTATCAAAAGAATACATATTAAATGCATACACTAATTATTCCTCAGATCAGATATATGGCCTATGTTCAAATTAGTCCTTAATTATGGACTAAAGGTTTGAATCCACTCATCCACTCCCCCAACTTGTAGGCTGAATCCCTGACCCCCAGCTTGATAGAATTTGGTGAGAAGGCCTCTGGGGGGAAACTGGGGTAAGATTACTTGACCAGGGCAAAGCCTCCATGGTGGGATGGAGGCCCTCACAAGGAGGTGAAGGGCCAGACCCCCCTCTCTGAAATGTGAGGACACAGAAAGAAGGCAGTCATCTGTGGGACAGGAGGAGGACTCTCACCGAGGACCCTGCCACACCAGAGCCTTAATTAAACCCAGATTTCAAAACTGGGAAATAAATGTTTGTTGACAAGCCAGCCATGCTCTGTTATTCTCTTACAGAATCCAAACTGACTAAAACAGTAGCACTCATGGTGAAACAGATTGGACTCTTTATGATCATTACCCCAATTTTTGAAGCTATATTTTAAATAGCATCATACCTGATGTTCACTTGGTAAGAAGTCTTATAAGTAGAGAAAAACCAACTGTATCTTTTGACCTACTTAGAAAAGTCTTTAGATCATGCCAATACATTATCTCATATTGATAGCTTTACATTATTCATTTATAAAAGGACACCATATTGCAAATCTAATGTCCAATTTTAGCTATTAATGGAAATAAACATACAGTAATAACTTTCTGAACAGCATAAAGCATTTGGTGACAACAGACTAGTGTTTCTACACATGAATCAAAGTTAACAAAAACAGCTTTTATATTTAAAAGATAATAGATTCTATATTACATATTATAGATACTAGAGTTCAAGAATTTCTCTTTATATCTAAAATTTACAACAACATATTTGAAGTTGTGAAAATTACTTGACTTTCCAGTAGCTCACTAACCTCCATCTACAACATGAGATTGGACTGGGGATACAGTTCAGTGGAAGGGCACTTGCCTAGCATGCACACAGTCCCAGTTTCTATACCCAGCATAAAAAAGCAAAAAAGAGATTAATAATGGTACCAACACATCAGAAAGACTTCATGAAGATTAAATGAACTGTTTTTAATTTATGTTTGATTCAGTACTATTTGTGCACCCAATTTCAGCCTCAGCATGAAGGTCCTTTCTGAAGACAATACCCTTCTTTGCTGAAGGTCCTTACCTGTAGTTTATGATCTAGGTGCACACTTTATATGAACCATGGACTCTATGTAAACATTTTAGATAGTAACATATCTTTAGAGCAAAAAACGAAATCACAACTTCTATAAACTTAAATACTTCTTTGAGGCAACAAAGTACATATTCTTGGGAATGTATGTAGAAATGGAATTTGAGTTGCATGTTTTTTAAATACTCAACTTTACAATGTGATGTAAAATTGTCTTTTCCCACCCCACCCTAGTAATATACATACTAATGATCCACCATTGGTTTAGTTTGACTTCTGAATTTTTGTCCATTGTATTAGAATAATATGGTATGTGTGGTCTTGATATACATTTGTGCTAATGATATGAACAATGCCTTTTGCCCGTTTTCTATTGTTTGTCTTTTTCTTACTGATTTTGAGTTATTTATATATTTTTAGGAATAGTTCTTCCTTGTATATGTGGCAAAAAATCTTCTAGTGTTGCGTATATGGTAAATGCTGCTGCTAAGTGCCATTCAGCAGAAAGGCAGTATGGTAAACTAGTGGTCAACTTGTAACTCCCAGCTGAAATGAACTGGCAGGGTGCTCAGTGTGGAAGGCCACTTGAGGATTGCTGCCAACAGCATAAAAAGAGAACTAGAGGGAAAGATGGTGTGCTGTTGATCCTCCTGGAGAAGCTTGGTTTTCCTGATATGAACTTGGCTTTTCTCTTGCTGGAGGAGCTCAGGTTCTTGCTGTCACTAAGGATGGCTGTAGTTCGCTTTGGGGGAGCTCCCATCTTTGAGTATTGCCTCTTGTCTCCAGTGCAGATCCTTAGCCCACTAGCATGGGCTAACATTCTAGTTTCTACCACTGACTTTAGGGCCTTCCTAGGGCAGATTCTTGATACAGACTTACATGAGACATTGTCATGAGCTCAAAGCCTCCAGCTGGACTCATGGAGAACAATGCTATGGGCTGTAGGTCTTCAGCTGAACTTGTGCAGGACATTACTGTGGGATCTAGGCCTTTAGCTGGATTCAGCTGGATAGATCTCCTGCATGCTTTTTTTTTTTTTTAGTTTATGTATGTTGTACAAGGTCTCACTATGCAGCTGTGACTCGTAGTGATCCTCCTGTTTTCAACCTCTCCAGCACTGGGATTACAGGCATGCACCACCACACCTGGACTCTGTCGACCAGCTCAGTGTGCCCTGGGGACACGGCCAGCATGGCATAGGTACCAGGGATCAAATCTTGGGCCCTGTGCTTGACAAAGCAGGCACTTAGTCTATGGCGCTATCTTGCCAGCCCTTCCTGTATGATTTCTGCATTTGATTCTTGGGTGAATATTATAAAATAATCTTATAATTTATGTGTTCTGTATGAAATCTTTCCCCTTGTAAACCCTGACTATAATAGACAGGCTCATTGAACTATCACAGTATATCCTCATCCACATTGTTCACCAGATCTGGTACTATCTGACTTCTTCAAGGTCAAAATAACCATGACAGGTAAACATTTTGATTTGATTCAGAACATCAAGGCAGCCAGAACATACAACTGAAGACACCCAGGAAAGAGAACTTGTAGAATTACTTCAGAAAGTGGCAAGAGAATGACGGGAAAGGGACATTCCAAGCAAAGAGGAGGATATTGAAAGACATTAATACCAACTTGTTTTTCACTATAATAAATTATTCTAAAACAGATATGCACCAAATCTTTCAATTATATCTCATACAGTCTTCTAAGTTTTAACGGTTTACTTTTGATATTTAAGTTCTCAGTCCATCAAATTTTATAAGGTATGAGATAGAAATCTAATCCTATTTTTTCAGAGGTATGTAAGTCCTTTATTTCCTCAAGTACTCTGCCATGAGATTCTTGTCATATGTAAGAGTTATACACAAATAAATAATGACCTGCTTTTTTTTTTTTTTTTTTTGCAGAACTGGGGATTAAACTCAGGCCCTTGTGCTTGCCAGGCAAGCGCTTATTCTATTGAGCTATCTCCTCAGTCCCATGATCTGCTTTTGAGCTCTTAATTCCCCAATTTTCCTATACCAGAAACAACAAATCATTCCTTGTAATAGTTTTACACAAAGTTATTACCTATGGTACTGCAAGTTCCTATTATTCTTCTGATTAATAATCATAGCTATTTTAAAGATATATTATCAACATGTTGGTTGAATTTTCATAAATTTGCATTAAAATTTTAGTTTCTTTTACCTTTGTTGTGTCAATGTATTCAATAATACACCTTTATAATTTTATATAAACATTTTCAGTGTGTGGTATCTTGGTTGAATTAACTTCACTAATGTTTAGAAATTATTTATCTATATTCATAAATGAGTTAAATCTATAATTAGCCCACATTTTACTATCTCTGTAGTCAGCTCCTGCCTCTCTCCAACTCCTGGCAACCTCTAATCCACTTAGACAAGCCTGGACATTTCCTCATATAATTGCAATTATATACATAGACAAGCCTGGACATTTCCTCATATAATTGCAATTATATACATATTACCTTTTGAAAAATTTGATTTTGAAACAGAGGCTCACTAAGTTGTCCAGGCTGGGCTTGGATTTGTAATCTTCCTACTTCAGCCTGCCAGGTAGCTAGGATTATAAGTGTACTGCTGACACACCCAGTGCAACATGTGACTCTTTGAGATTCATGGGGAGATTTAACCATGTTGCATGAACTAGTACTTTATTCTTTTTTATTGTTAATATTCCATCATATTAACATATCATTCTTTACTGATTTGAGGGGCACTTGACTTGTTCATCATTCAGTTATATGAATAAAGCTTCTATAAACACCTCTCTGCAGGTCTGAAATGGCAAATATGAACCCGCATTTTCATTTAACACTGATAAATTTCTAGAAGTATCTCTGGGTCTTCTGGCAATTATACTCAACTTTATGAGAAACTTGCAAATCGACTAGTTTTTGCATTCCCATCAGCATATCAGATACTACTTGTGCCATTCTCACGAGCACTTGGCTTTATGAGGTTTGTCC